CGATTTCGCGTGCACTTCAGAGGTGGTTAAATGACATGTGTTTGAATAATTGTAACTATGAGTAAAAGTTGCCATTGCCGGGGAATGCCCACTAAGTAGTTTCTATAAGGCGCTTGCCTCGCTGTTGGTTTTGTTATTGTGGTGACTTCAGAACGAAGAGCCACAACACTAACCATCAAGTTTTGACGACTTCCCTCTCTTCTAATTTTCAACGCTGAATCTATTGAAGTGATTAATTAAATGATTATTTCATCGTATGCATACGATTGTTCGTTAAAACTTCAGGAGCCGATTAACGCGTTAGCGTTAGAATTTTTTACACTTTTAAGACACTTTGGCGTGTCACTTTTTCAGCTCTTTTTTTTCGTGCGGGAGCTCAGCGCCTGCGAGACTCGGGGTAGGCCACCCCGCAGTACTCGCATGCACTGCAGTCAAGATGTTGCCTACCCATCAGGCGCTATGCGAACCTGTCAATGTACTTTCTGGATGATCCCAGATTGAATTAGTTTAAGCTGATACTGGCTGTCAACATTAAACATGAGAGGCAAATCTATCGGAAAGGTAATGTGGGAGCAGCCTTGTAAGCTTGCAAACCTAGGTCTTCACTTAATTTTATTACGGACTGATCAGACACCCCTACAGTTACTTTTACGGGGAAGTGGTTTAACCGAGGGGTATGGAACTGGCCAGAAAGTGTACACATGATTGTGTCGAGACAATCATTGTTTCAGATTGTCTGTGATTGTGTGTGATTGTGTCGATGATTGACTCTGATTCTTTCAGATTGTTAGGAAAATTTTGGGACATATTTTTTAAAACTGTGTCATGATTATGTCTGATTTTCTGTGATTGTTTCCGATTGTGTGTGATTGTTTCCGATTGTGTGTGATTGTTTCCGATTGTGTGTGAATGTTTCCGATTGTATGTGATTGCTTCAGATTGTATGTGATTGCTTCAGATTGTGTGTGATTGCTTCAGATTGTCTGTGATTGTTTATGATTGTCTCTGATTGTAGGATAAATATTGTGACATATTTTGAAAAATTGTGTCAAATTGTGACATGGTTATGTGTGGTTGTGTGTGATTGGTTCGGATTTTGTGTGATTGTTTCAGATTGTGTGTGATTGTTTCGGATTGTGCGTGATTGTTTTTGATTGTGTGTGATTGTTTCTGAATGTTTTCCCCGATGTACACATATTGTGTCCACTTCCACACCCCTCGGGTTTAACTTTAACTTAACCACAGGGAAAAAAACATCTGAGATAGGTGTTAAGACCAACGAAACAACGAGAATTTAAAGGGGGCAATAGAGGATCT